ACTCTTAATTGTCTCCCCCTAGCTCTTCTGCCCCACATATTTCCTTCAAGCATCTCTTTCACAATAATCTCGGATCGTTTTAAGTTACCAAAGTATTGGTTTTTTCTACATTTTATTTCATTCAGCAAGGTTTTTTTTGTGCGGAGATTCTGACTCACTTCATTGTTCGTCTTTCTTGCTTTTCGGCTAATTCTTGCGATTCTGCGAATTTATCACATCTGAAACGTAGCTTGTTTGTTTTCTTCTTTCTTTGTCAAAGTCCAGGAGTCAGCGCCATATAACATGTGAACCATGTAGTATTTTAGCATTTTATTTTAAAAGATAGAGATAATTTCCTGGATGTAAATAGTTTGTACATATTTTGTGCATATTACGTAGGTATAATGTTATGCAAATAAAAATAACATTTGCCTGAAATTCCGGTTTCACATTCAAGTTCCACACACGTTTTTCTGTTTCTGTCTCTGTTAAAAAAAGTCTGGTTGATCTTTTTTTCCAAATAAGAGTGTGTTTTTTTCTTGCACATAAGAAATAAATTCAGCTGCTCTGTCAACTTCCATATTAGGTGTCAATTTGATTAATTGTGTACACATTACAATAGATTTGAATGGTGATGTCCGTTGAATTGGAACTTGAGCGTATGGCTGCTTGTAAAAAATAGCTAGATTGCAAAAATGAGATATTTAAAAAAATGAAACAGCATGACTGAAGTGGGCCCAGGAAGCGGCACAGGACATTCTAATCAGGAACCAATATAATACGTGACTCTTGGACCAGCAATGCCAAGGCCGAGCGGGAAGCGAGAAGAAACATAGCGAAGCATAGTCTCGCTCAGAAAATAATTTTTCAAGCAGATGTTTCAATATTTTGTTTGTATTAAAATTTATTATCTGAAACTTTAAAAGGTAGGCCAGAACGTGTATACCATAAAATGTGCAAATTCAGGTTTCTGGTTTGTAAATGGAGATTATAACGTGCCCCAACTTTGCCTTTGGTCTGTTGGAAATGATAAATATGTGTAACGACGAGGAGGAATCAAGTGTTTGTCACTTTTTGGGCATATGAGTTATTTGGTATCTTCTTAAAGCCTTTTTTTTCTTTGTTAAAATTTTTTAAAACTCATCTACCTTGAATAGAAGTCAAGATAATATTTGCTAGTGAAGGAGTAGGGGTAGCCTTATTTCTGGGGTAAAATAAGGAAGAAAATCGCCGCCAAAGCTTGGTGACTTCCCAAGCGTGAGTGTCCTGGCAAACTGTACATGTACATTTTCTTTATCTTTTGGTCAAGATTTTTCAGAAAAATCCTCACTAGAAACCGTTCTAAGTGGAAATTTAAGATTTTAGCCCAAAACAAACGTATCGATAAAAATTGCCAAAATGCGCAGAAAATGTAGGTTCCTTCGATTTCATTATTTTGACGAGCGACTGATTTCACCACAACAGAATACAGTGGGTGTATGGATCGTCCTTTTAAACTTAACTAGAATAAATTTACAAAGACAAGACACCCCCCTTAATTTGATCATAATTAGACTAAAGAAGAATCTTTATCGACTTGTTCGGAGATTGGGGTGGGAATAAAACAACAAGCAAACGTATCGTTCGTTATCCTTTTCGTCATTTCACCACCAGACCAACGTGAAGGAAATTTCTAATGATTGAAGGCAAGATGCGGAGCGCAAGGGATAGACAATTATAATATGCAGTATGGACTGACATCATCAAAGTCTGGACTTAGCTAAGTCTAACAAGATGCACGAAAGTAGCTAATGACGGCATTTAGTATAGTGTAAAACGCAAAAAGAGATTGCTGTTGAGCAGGAGGTTTGCACAATACAATTATTTTTTTTATTATCAGTTATTATTTACGTATGGGCTAGGCTAGATAAAATTTAAAAATGCACAAGAGCAGATAGTGAAAGTAAGCAAGGTTGGGTCATCACACTCCAACCTTTTAGCCAGAGATGACCCCTTTAGGTATTCCAGGTATCTCTCTGACCACGCCTCCAAAAGCCTAAAAAAGGAATCCAAACTGGCGTATGTGGTGTAGCGATTATGTGCTTTGTAGTCGCATGCAGGACGTCCTGGTTCAATTCCCGAGTAAAGACACTTTTTATTGAGCATCTGGGTCTTTTTGGGGGGGATTTGTATTCCTTTAAGCCCAATTTGGGCGTAACAAGCAGGGTCAGAAGCTCAAATCCGAAATGAATTAAGTAAATTGTGTCGATGGGGGCGTTAAAAAAAACTATATAAAAAATGGGAAATATCTAGGTAAGTACACAGTACACAGTGCTCCCTTGAATTTCTCCAGGCTTACGATATTGAGTAAGTGTAATCAGCAGCCACAGTGATTGTCTTCGTTTGTGTGTGTGTGTGGGGGGGGGGAGAGAGAGAGAGAGAGAGAGAGAGAGAGAGAGAGAGAGAGAGAGAGAGAGAGAGAGAGAGAGAGAGAGAGAGAGTATGTGTTTGTGTGTGAGTTTGTGTGGATGTGTTCTCTGTC